CTCTGCTTACAGCCAGAACTGAGACAATAAGGGGAAATAAAAATGAGAAAAAAATGATGACGATAATAATAATACTTATTTTTTGAGCACCTTTTATACCAGGAATTATGTTAAGTGCTTTACATAAATCATTTTATTGAATCAAATCCTCATAAACAACTCTGGGTTTGTCAGGATGCTTTTGACTCCACGTAAGAGAAATCCCAACTCAAAAAAGCTTAAACATGAGGAAATGAGTTATTTTCTACGTAATAATAAGTCCCTACCAGGGGTAGCTTTAGGGTTGGTTAACTTAGAAGCTTGATGATGTCGTTGGGGACCCAGGTTCTTGCCATCTTTTCACTCTGTCATCCTTAGTTGGCTTGGATCTTCAGCCTGGGTCCCCTCATGACCACAATATTGCTGCTGCACTTTTAGGCATCCCATCTGGACACGACAGTATTTAGCAGAGGGATGATCTCTTCCTTGTATCTTTTTTAAGTACAATAAAAGCTTCCAAGAAGCCTCTAGTTGATCACCCCTCTCATCTCAGTGGCCAGAATTGGGTCATACATGCATGCTTAATCCAACCATTGACCCAAAAGTGGGATTATTGCAATGGGCCTACACCAAGCATAATTCACCCCTGAGCTGAGAGAGGAAGAGATAAAACACTCTGAAAAAAAAAAAAAAAGAGAGAGAGAGAGAGGTCTGACCAGGCGCAGTGGTTTACGCCTGTAATCCCAGCACTTTGGGAGGCTGAAGTTGGCAGATCACGAGGTCAGGAGATCGAGACCATCCTGGACAACATGGTGAAACCTCGTCTCTACTAAAAACACAAAAATTAGCTGGGCATGGCAGCGCGTGCCTGTAATCCCAGCTACTTGGGAGATTGAGGCAGGAGAATTGCTTGAACCAGGGAGGTGGATGTTGCAGTGAGCCAAGATTGTGCCACTGCACTCCAGCCTGGCGACTGAGCTAGACTCCATCCCAAAAAAAAAAAAAAAAAAAAAAAAAGGTCTTTTTCAGCAAAGAAAAGGGGAAACCCATTCGGTAGTTAACCAACAGTGTCCGCTGCAAACCTTCGAGATACACATGAGCAGTTCAGAGGGGCAGAGCGATTTGCCCAAGGTCCAACAACCAGTTAAAGGCAGATATGGAGTCTGAATCCAGAACCGTCCATCTCTAAAATCTCCTCTTTTAACCTATATTCTGGGAGGCAGTTAGTCCACACTAAATTCTTTTGCCTTTGAGAAACTCAAGTTGCTAAGGCTGTCCTGAATATTTCATGAAAATAACTGGTGTAGGAGCTACAAACTGATCAGATTCAAGAGACCAAGCCACACAGCAAACTTATCTAGCCTCACTAAATCTGTTCCCTCCTGGCTCACTCAAGTCTCCTCAAATACAGTGGTGAGGAAACTTAAAAGAAGCTCAACTCAGCAAACAGCAGGCTTCAGTCTTAGATATCTGGCTTTCTGAGTGGGCATATAAATCAACAAATATCCTTTCTGTGTCCTTTCACGTCTCCTCTTATTGGTATTACCCCCTTTGAGGAATTCTTTCTACCCAATTTCATTTATTTGATTCTGATAGGGACTTCCAATGACAGTACCAATACAAGACATCAAGTCTCAGCTTTTCAGGAGGCCAAGGAAGGACAATCACTTGAGCCCGGGAGTTTGAGACCCGCATGGGCAACACAGCAAGACCTCATCTCAGGCCAGGCGAGGTGGCTCATGCCCGTAATCCCAGCACTTTGGGAGGCCAAGGTGGGTGGATCATGAGGTCAGGAGATCGAGACCATCCTGGCCAACATGGTGAAACCCGTCTCTACTAAAAGTACAAAAATTAGCAGGGCATGGTAGCGCGTGCCTGTAATCCCAGCTACTCAGGAGGCTGAGGCAGGAGAATCGCTTGAACCAAGGAGTCGGAGGTTGCAGTGAGCCAAGATCACGCCACTGCACTCCAGCCTGGTGACAGAGCAACACTCCATCTAAAAAGAAACAAACAAAACCAAACAAAAAACAAACAAACACAACCCCTCATCTCTATCAGTCAATCAATTAGTCAGAGATGACATCAAAATCAAAATAGTTAAACAATGGGAAAGCACAGACACCAACCAATCATAAGGGACACTTGCAGCAGTGGCAAAGCAGGCTCCTGAATGCCCCCGGCTGGGCTTGCCATTAACTCTTACTTGTTGGGCTGTGGGGAAGTCCAGGGTGTCCCAAGGAGGTCCAGGATGGCCGGGAGATGAGGACAGGGAACTTAGGAATCTTGGGCCAATAGGTATTTACCAACAGCTATGGAAATATTTCGCTTAATGAGTTCTTAATTACAGATATTGCATTTTTTAGTTCTAGAATGCCCATTTGGTTCTTTTTTTATAGATTTGAATGCACTGTTGAAATTTTTCATTTATTGTATTATTTTTCTCTATTTACCATGTTTATAATACTTATTATAAAGTCTTTGTCTGCTAACACAAATATCAGAATCATTTGTGGGTCTGCTTCTACTCCCTGCTCTTTCTCTATTTTTTTTTTTTTTTTTTTTTGAGACAGGGTCTTTCTCTGTTGACCAGGCTAGAGTGTGGTGGTGCAATCATGGGTCACTGCAACCTTGACCTCCTGGGTTTAAACAATTCTCCCTCCTTAACCTCCCAAGTAGCTGGGACTACAGGTATTGTTACCAAGCCCAGGTAATTTTTTAACCTCTTTTTTTTTTTTTTTTTTTTTTTGGAGACAGGGTCTTACTCTATCGCCCAGGCTGGAGTGCAATGGTGTGATCTCTACTCATCGCAACCTCCGCCTCCCGGATTCAAGTGATTCTCCCACCTCAGCCTCCCAAGTAGCTATGACTACAGGCATGTGCCACCACACCTGGCTAATTTTTGTATTTTTAGTAGAGATGGGATTTTGCCATGTTACCCAGGCTGGTCTCAAACTCCCGAGCTCAAGTGATCCACTGACCTCAGCCTCCCAAAGTGCTGGAATTACAGGCATGAGCCACTGCACCCAGCCTATTTTTTTCTTTTTCCTTTTTCTTTCTTTTTTTTTTTTCTTAGACAGAGTCTTGCTCTTGTCACCCAGGCTGGAGTGCATGGTGTAATCTCGGCTCACTGCAATCTCCACCTCCCAGGTTCAAGCGATTCTCCTGCCTCAGCCTTCTGAGTAGCTGGGATTACAGGTGTCCACGACCACGCCTGGCTAATTTTTGTATATTTAGTAGAGACGGGGTTTTGCCATGTTGGCCAGGCTGGTCTCAAACTCTTGACCTCAGGTGATCTGCTCACTTCAGCCTCCCAAATTGCTTGGGTTACAGGCATGAGCCACTGCACCTGGCTCCTGCCTTTTTTCTGATCAGTCACATTTTCCTGCTCTTTATATTCCTTATAATTATATAAAAGAAAACAGAGGCAACAGATGATGTTATTTTCCTCTGGTGATGAATCTCTTTTTCTTCTGTTAGCAGATGGGGTGAGGGATTGATCACCTCAATCTAGTCAAGAATTCAGTTGGGTTGAGGTGGGGTTGCAGTCTTAGTTAGTCCCAGTCCACTTCTGGGTCATCACTGGTCCTTGGATGGAGCCCACTCTTTTCATTGTCATGTCTCTGTCTTCTCATCCCTGAAAGCCTATGGAAGATTCAGCTCTGTTCTTAGGAGCTCTGGCTTAGTTCTAGATTCTAGCATTACAACAGATCACGTTGATCATCAAAAACTCTACCAGTTTCTCTTTGTTCCAGTAGAGACGCTATGCCTGGGTCAAGCCCTATCCTTGGCCTGTGCACAGATTTGACAAATACTCCCCGGGAAGAAAATGGTCAGAGACAATCAGCACATTTAGAAAGGGCTCTTTCTGGCCAGACGCGGTGGCTCACGCCTGTAATCCCAGCACTCTGGGAGGCCGAGATGGGCAGATCACCTGAGGTCAGGAGTTTGAGACCAGCCTGACCAACGTGGTGATACCCCGTCTCTAATAAAAATACAAAATTATCTGGGTGTGGTGGCACATGGCTGCAATCCCAACTACTCGGGAGGCTAAGACAGGAGAATCAATTGAACCCGGGAGGCAGAGGTTGCAGTGGGCCTAGATTGCGCCATTACACTCCAGCCTGGGCAATAAGAGTGAAACTCTGTCTCAAAAAAAAAAAAAAAAAAAAAAAAAAAAAAGGGAAAGGCCTCTTTCCTCTCCAGAGTTTCAATTCATTAGTCCTCATTGATGGCACAACTCTGCAATGTCTTAAAAAGGTGATTTTTGTAACTTACTCTGTTTTTTCTAGTTGCTTCAGTAGGAGTGTTGAATTGTTCCTACATATACATCCTCTCCAGAAGAGGAAGCCCTCTGAAACCCTTTCAACATTTAACCATGGTGAGGTCATCCAGGTATACACGGCTGAATAAACCCAGAGCATACCATGGCCCCTGCTCCACACCTCCACTACAGCGAGGACAGGCGGCCCAAGCAGACCAGAGTCTTTTTGCATTGAAACTGGGGACCGTGAGCCTTTTTGTTTTTACAGTGGGTGGAAAGTGTGACAAAGCTGTGAGAATAAGTCTGGAAGCTTCCAATGGCTATGCCCCATGCTCATGGAAGAGGCCAGTCTCCAGCAGGAGGAAATGAAGCCCTTCCACGGAAAGGAGAAGCATTGGGAGCACCCAGGGGATGTTGGAGTCCCTGATTCCAGTCACTTGCTCCTGCTATGGTTGGTTACCTGAGCCACACACTTCCCTTTTCTTCGTGAGTTAGTTCCAGTTTCTTTTTTTTTTTTAAGTTATTTGTGTATATTTATGGGGTACATGAGAAAATCTGTTATATGTATATAATACATAGTGATCAAGAAGGGGCATTCAGGGTGTCCGTCATGTGAGTACAATACTTTTTTGTTAAGTTTAGTCATCCTACTCTGCTGTGGAATATTGAATTTATTCCTTTTATCTTACTGTATGTTTGTATGTTTTAACACTTCTCTTTATCCACCCGCCCCTCCACCACTGTCCCTTCCATCTCTATTAACTGTTTTTCCATTCTCTAGCTCCACGTGTTCAATTTTTTTAGCTGCTACATATAAGTGAGAAAATGCAATATTTGTTGTTCCGTGCCCGACTTTTTTCACTTAAGAGAATAACCTCCAGGCCTTGTGGCTCTCTGAGCAGCACCATGGTGGTTGGCAAGAACAAGCGCCTTACAAAAGGCAGCAAAAAGGGAGCCAAGAAGAAAGTGATTGATCCATTTTCTAAGAAAGATTGGTATAATGTGAAAGCAGCTGCTATGTTCAATATAAGAAATATTGGAAAGACGCTAGTCACCAGGACCCAAGGAACCAAAATTGCATCCGACAGCCTCAAGGGTTGTGTGTTTGAAGTGAGTCTTGCTGATTTGCAGAATGACGAATTTGCATTTAGAAAATTCAAGCTGATTACTGAAGATGTTCAGGGCAAAAACTGCCTGACTAAGTTCCATGGCATGGATCTTATTCGTGACAAAATGTGTTCCATGGTCAAAAAATGGCAGACAATGATTGAAGCTCACATTGATGTCAAGACTACTCATGGTTACTTGCTTCGTCTGTTCTGTGTTGGCTTTACTAAAAAACGCAACAATCAGATACGGAAGACCTCTTATGCTCAGCACCAACAGGTCCGCCAAATCCAGAAGATGATGGAAATCATGACCCAAGAGGTGCCGACAAATGACTTGAAAGAAATGGTCAATAAATTGATTCGGCGGGGCGCGTTGGCTCAAGCCTGTAATCCCAGCACTTTGGGAGGCCGAGGCGGGCGGATCCAGGTCAGGAGATGAGACAAGGAAGTATAAAAACAAAAAATAGCCGGGCGGTGGCGGGCGCCTGTAGTCCGCTACCAGGAGGCTGAGGCAGGATGGCGGGAACCCGGGAGGCGGAGCTTGCGTGGCCTAGATCGCGCACTGCACTCACCTGGGCAACAGCGTGAGACTCCGTCTCAAAAAAATAAATAAATAAAAAAATAAATTGATTCTAGACAGCATTGGAAAAGACATAGAAAAGGCTTGCCAATCTATTTATCCTCTCCATGATGTCTTTGTTAGAAAAGTAAAAATGCTGAAGAAGCTCAAGTTTGAATTGGGAAAACTCATGGAGCTTCATGGTGAAGGCAGTAGTTCCGGAAAAGTCACTGGGGACAAGACAGGTGCTAAAGTTGAACGAACTGATGGATATGAACGACCAGTCCAAGAATCTGTTTAAGGTTCAGACTTAAAATAGTGGCAAATAGGCCGGGCGCGGTGGCTCAAGCCTGTAATCCCAGCACTTTGGGAGGCCGAGACGGGCGGATCACAAGGTCAGGAGATCGAGACCATCCTGGCTAACACGGCGAAACCCCGTCTCTACTAAAAACACAAAAAAATTAGCCGGGCGAGGTGGCGGCGCCTGTGGTCCCAGCTACTCGGGAGGCTGAGGCAGGAGAATGGCGGGAACCCGGGAGGTGGAGCTTGCAGTGAGCTGAGATCTGGCCACTGCACTCCAGCCTGGGCGACAGAGCGAGACTCCATCTCAAAAAAAAAAAAAAAAAAAAAAAAAAAAAAAAAAAAAAAAAAAAAAAAATAGTGGCAAATAAAAAGTCCTATTTGTGATTAAAAAAAATAATAATCTCCAGTTCCATCCATGTTGCTGCAAATGACATGATTTCACTCTTTACGGCTAAACAGTATTCCATTGTGTATATATACCACATTTTCTTTATTCTTCCATTGATGGACACTTAGGTGGATTCCATATCTTAGCTATTGTGCATAGTGCTGCAATAAATATGCAAGTTTGCAGATATCCTTTTGATACATTGATTTCTTTTCCTTTGGGTAGATACCCAGTAGTAGGATCACTGAATCAAATGGTAATTCTACTTTTAGTTTTTTTAAGAAATCTCTGGTCAGGCACGGTGGCTCATGCCTGCAGTCCCAGCACCTTGGGAGGCCAAGGCAGGTGGATCACCTGAGATCAGGAGTTTGAGACTAACCTGGACAACATGGTGAAACCCCGTCTCTACTAAAAATACAAAAATTAGCCAGGCATTGATGGTGGGTGCCTGTAATCCAAGCTACTCAGGAGGCTGAGGCAGGAGAGTTGCTTGAACCCGGGAGGCAGAGGTTGCAATGAGTTGAGATTGCACCACTGTACTCTGCCTGGGCGACAAAGTGAGACTCTGTCTCAAAAAAAAAAAGAAAAAAGAAAAAAAGAAATCTCCACACTGTTTTCCATAGTGGTTGTACTCATTTACATTCCCACCAACAGTGTAAAAGACTTCCCCTTTTTCCATATCCTTACCAATATGTTATTTTTTTTTTTGTCTTTTTAATAAAAGCCATTCTGATTGGAGTAAGATCTCATTGTGGTTTTTTTATTTCTCTAATGATGAGTGATGGTGAGCATTTTTTCATATACCTGTTGGCCATTTACATGTCTTCTTTTAAGAAATGTCTATTTATGTCCTTTGCCCACTTTTTAATGGGATTATTTGTTCTTTCCTTTTTGAGATTTTTGAGTTCCTTTTATATTCTGGATGTTAGTCCCTTGTTGAATAAATAGTTTGCAAATATTTTCTCCCTTTCAACAAGTTGTCTCTTCACTCTGTTGATTGAAACAATCAACTGCTGTTCAGAAGATTTTTAGTTTAATATAGCCCCATTTGTCTGTTTTTGTTTTTGTTGTCTGTGCTTTCAAGGTCTTAGTCATAACTTCTTTGCCTGGGCCCAATGGTCCAAGAGAGTTTTTCTTAGTATTTATTTAGTTTTAGATCTTATTTTTCAGTCTTTAATCTATTTTGAATTTATTTTCGCATATGGTGAGAGAGAAGGATCCAATTTCATTCTTCTACATGTGGCTATCCAATTTTCCCAGCACCCTTTATGGAAGAGGGTGTCCTTTCCCCAGTGTAAGCTCTTGGCACCTTTGTTGAAGATCAGTTGGCTGTGTTCTCTAGTCTGTTCCATTGGTCTATATGTCTATTTTTATACAAATACCATGCTGTTTTGGTTACTATAGCCTTGTAATATATTTTGAAGTCCTGTAACATGATGCCTCTAGCTCCAATTTCTTGAGAGGCTCCATCTCTATTTTCTTTGCCCTTGGGCTTTATAAGACACCCCTATGTCCATATAATACATTATCCTTTTCTTCTTAGGCAGGGCAGAGGTGGTTTATGTTACCTGTAATTCAACGGGTCTTAACTAAGACTACTTCTTTAATGGCGGGGCAGTTTAGAAGGGTCTGGTGAAATGTGTCTCCCTCATTGCCCAGAAGGAAGAGAAAGAGGATGAATGGTGATATTTCTGAGACCACAACTTTGGATCATGAATCCTCAGGTCAAGGAGAAACCGACGCCTCTGGATTCTGATCACTCTACTCCACCATGGGAAGAAATTCAGACATGCCTAAGAAGTTGTCTGAATCTGTCATCCAAAGCCAAACTGTCTTACCTTAATCTTTGATTAAACTGCATTCCCACCCCCAAACAATATTTAAAAATGAGGGGAATAGAAACAAGAGATTCCTGTGTTTGTACATTTCACTTACTCCTGGGGCTCCTGAGTTGCAGAGGAGCCTGAAGTTTACACCAGAGGGTAAAGAAGATAGCTATTTGGACATCACACACCACTTTGCCAGTTTCCGTTCTCTTGAATTATTTACCATCTAATTGTCTGCATTGAAACAGAATCTGGAAACACAGAGTCAGAGTTGTAGCCCTATTTGCAAGTTACAGAAAGAAAACTAGAGCTCAGTGAAGTACCTGGGGCAGAAGCACTTCATGGGTTTCTGAAGTTCTCTTACCTTGGGAGGGCTGTGAATGCAGGGTGAAACCAGCCCAGCAGCAGAGAGAAAGAGCGCCTCGGTCTGGAAGGGGCCTTAGAAGTCACTAGTCCAGACTCCCCTTTGAGGTCACTGTCTCCCTCCTGTGTAAAGGTCTGGCGTCTAGTCTGTACTTTCCCTTCAACTGGCTATGTCACCAAGAGCATCTGAACCTTGATTTCTTCATCTGTAAAAGATAGAATACAAAGGAGGATGGGATGGAAAATAAACCTGTCTATAAATTTAAAAAATTGTTATCACAAATTTTATTTTCACCATTGTACCAATAATTCCTTCTTTCTTTTCCTTCTTTTATTCTTTTCTTTCTTTCTTTCTTTCTCTTTCTTTCTTTCTTTCTTTCTTTCTCTTTCTCTCTTTCTTTCTTTTGCCTTCCTTCCTTTTCTTTTTCTCTCTTTCTTTTCTGACTCTCTCTCTCTCTCTCTCCTTCCTTCCTCTCTCGCTCGCTCTCTTTTTTTCTTTCTTTTTTATTTTTTTCAAGACAGGGTCTCACTCTGTGTGGCCCAAGCTGGAGTGCAGTGGCATGATCTTGGCCCACTGCAGTCTCAAACTCCTGAGCTCAAGCAATCCTTCCACCTCAGCCTCCCTAGCAGCTAGTAGCTAGGACCACAGATGTGTACAACCATGCTTGGCTATTTTTTTTTTTTTTTTTTTGAGACAGAGTCTTTTTTTTTTTTTTTTTTTTTTTTGAGTCGGAGTCTCCCTCTGTCGCCCAGGCTGGAGCGCAGTGGTGCGATCTCGGCTCACTGCAAGCTCCGCCTCCCGGGTTCACGCCATTCTCCTGCCTCAGCCTCCCGAGTAGCTGGGACTACAGGCGCCCACAACCGCGCTCGGCTAATTTTTTGTATTTTTAGTAGAGACGGGGTTTCACCGTGGTCTCGATCTCCTGACCTTGTGATCCGCCCGCCTCGGCCTCCCAAAGTGCTGGGATTACAGGCGTGAGCCACCGCGCCCGGCCTGAGACAGAGTCTTGCTCTTTCACCCAGGCTGGGGTGCAGTGACGCGATCTCAGCTCACTGCAACCTCCGTCTCCCCCGTTCAAGCAATTCTCCGCCTCTCCAGTTCAAGTCGGCCTCAGCCTCCCGAGTAGCTGGGACTACAGGTGTATGCCACCATGCCCGGCTAACTTTTGTATTTTTTTAAGGAGAGACGGGGTTTCACCATGCTGGCCAGGCTGGTCTCAAATTCCTGACCTTGTGATCTGCCCGCTTCAGTCTCCCAAAGTGCTGGGATTATAGGCATAAGCCACCATGCCTGGCCCATGCTCAGCTACTTTTTGTATTATTTTTCTTTTTGTAGAGACAGGGTCTCACCATATTGCCCAGGCTAGTCTCAAACTCCTGGGCTCAAGCAATCCTCTGCCTAGGATTCCCAGTCAGTGCTGGGATTACAGGTGTGAGCCACCATGCCTGGCCTGCACCAATAATTTCCCATTTCCCATTTTCTACTTTAAAATAAAGTAGAAAACTTAGAAAAGTATAATGACAAATAAAACTCACTTGTCTCACTGCTCAGTAGAAATCACTCATTAGCCGAGCATGGTGGCGTGTGCCTGTAGTCTCAGCTACTCGGGAGGCTGAGGCAGGAGAGTCACTTGAACCCGGGAGGCAGAGGTTGTGGTGAGCTGAGATTGTGCCACTGCACTCCAGCCTGGAAAACAGAGTGAGACTCTCTCTCTGTTTTGTGTGTGTGTGTGTGTGTGTGTGTGTGTGTGTGTGTGTGTATATAATTTTTTTTAAATTTGAGACAGGGTCTCACTCTGTCACCCAGGCTGGAGTGCAGTGGCTTGATTATTGCTCACTGTAGCTTTAACCTCCTGGGCTCAGGAGACCCTCCTGCCTCAGTCTCCTAAGTAGCTGGGGCTACAGGTACACATAACATGCCTGGCTAAGTAAAAAAAAAAAAAATTGTAGACATAGGGTCTTGATATGTTGCCCAGGTTTGTCTTGAACCCCTGTCCTCAAGTGATCATCCAGCCTCAGCTTCCCAAAGTGCTGGGATTACAGTTGTGAGCCACTGTACCCAGCCCATAATATTATTTGATACATTGTCTTTCAGTCTTTTTCTAACTAAATATGTATAATTGAGAATTTTTAATTATACTGTTTTATAGCTTAGTTTTTCCCATTCAATATTTTCTAGTGCATCTCTTCTCCATGTCAGTAAATATTCTTCAAAAACAAGAATTTTGGCCGGGAGCGGTGGCTCATGCCTGTAATCCCAGCACTTTGGGAGGCTGAAGTGGGCAGATCACAAGGCTGGGAGCACAAGACCAGCCTGGCCAACATAGTGAAACCCTGTCTCTACTAAAAATACAAAAATTAGCCGAGCATGGTGGCATGCACCTGTAGTCCCAGCTACTCAGGAGGCTGAGGCAGAAGAGT